CATCTTTGACAGGATCAGCTTCTTTATGATACCTCGCGAACAAACAGAGGGGACTTACCGAATATTAGTTGAATTATTATTCGATGCAAACTGCTCAATGAGTGCAATTATTATCATGCCATATTCATTATATACACGAGCTACGGAAAACAGGCGCCACTTCTATCGTTGGATGTCAATCATGTCACAATAAATAATAAAAATACCTGGTTTGTTTCAATATGGCGATGCGTTATGGAGGATACATTTGTCTCCTATCCATATAATGTGCACATACGGTATAAACCGTGTTATTGTAATGGAGTTTATTCCAGTCTTCCCCATGGATCGAAGAATCATCTATTTCGCTTTTCCATTACAACTCCCACACTCAGTGATTTCCCAATGATTGTACAAAATGGAAGAATCAAAAGTTTGGTCTCAATGACTGACTGAATTCACGCGTAACCCCTTCGACGAAAGATTTTTTTTTCTGTAATTCAATTGTCCACAAAGGAGATACTTCACATTTTTCCTAATATTGGTAATTACCAAAATCAGTTCATAGTGGGAGCCATTCGCTAATTTATCAACTATCTTGGTCAGTAATTTATCAACTATCAGGGTCAGTAGGATCTTGAGCACACGCTTCAGCAAAACTTTTAGGAAGATCTTTAGCAGGACCGTTGGAAGAAATTCTAATGAAAACTTTGATCATCCACTCTTGCTGGCGGAACTTTTAGATTCAGATTATTCAATCTATCATAATTTGTAAATGTTTTCTTGTAAAAATGAAGAAAAATGCTACACCAAACTTATCAACGAACGAATTGAGATAAGGAAAAAGATTCATAACCGAAGATTCAATGAGTAACAGGCAAGTCAACCACATGACATCTCAACTTGCCCATTACTCATTCACAATCGGTTTTTTCTCAATTTTTTTTTATTGTTAGATTATCACAGCTTTGCCGCATTTTACATTTTCAAGTTTTCTCAGTTCTTCAGTTTCCTCAGTCGTTCAACTAGAAATATCGCCAAACTAATAATCCGTGAACTATGATCGATTGATCTTCTGTCCAGATCATTAACGGATATGTTAAAAAACATGTTACTGGAACGAGATTTTTTTCTGTGCCGCAGTGAATTAAAGAGTCAACTATTCAGTGACAATTCTGAAACATGGAAGTACTTTTAATTATTAACCCAATCTTCTCATCTAATCTCGATTATGTATGAATAATAGAGAAAGTACGAAACATTACAGAGCAGTGTGGAAAATTACAGACTGCTCTGCAGTTTGCAGATAGTGTAACAGTTGAAGAATAGATTTTGATGAGAGGGAAGCAACTTATAGGATTAGTTAGAAAAACGTGTGATGTATCTAATTATTGTAGCGAATATTAAAGTTCGATAGAGAAAAACTACTTTCGAGTTGCAGAAACTGTATTATTCTTCCTTCATCGAACGAACAGAGACAGGGAAACACCATTCAGAGCAGATAGTGAGATAATATCATGAATTAATTTGAGCAGATTTGCATAAGCCCTAAGCTGAGGAAGAATCGACGAAGTGACGTACTAATTATCGGTACTGAGGCCACACGATTTACCCCTGTCATCATGCTGCAACAGGGCTAGTTCATATAGTGACATATTGTGGTTCCATGATTACTAAGATTGATTAAATGTATGAATATGTCGACAACGAAGAATAATAATAAGAAAGAAATCGAGTGTTTGGTCTCAATGGCTGGCTGCATCAACGCGTAAGTCAGTTTATAAAAAAAGCATCACTATTATCTTCAAATACTAACAAATACTATTCTGGATGGAATAGTTGATGGATGGACTTCGCCCTACCTGGCCAAACTAACAACCAGAGCAGAATCATTGACAATCACCAGTGATGAGGCATCGTGGATTGCCTCACTTTTTCGCGCGTCTCAACCGCTGGGCTCGATCTTTGCAGCTATGATTGTACACCGAATCGGTGCTAAGAAGGCCGTACTTTTGGCCGGGATCCCGCATGTCATCGGATGGTGATGCTTCATAAACAAAGAGTCAGTTCCATCGATTTACGTAGCAAGGATAGTCAGCGGTTTCGCTAGAGGGATATTTTGCTGCGCTTTCCCTCTTTATATAGGAGACATAGGGAGACCAAAGATCATAGGTGCCCTTGTAAGTGCCGTAGCTCAGGGAGCAGGCATTGGACATCTGTTGGGAAATTGTTTGGTTGCATATTTATCGATGAGGACCTTTGCCATTATAGCTGTTACAATGAGTATTATTTTTTTGTCATCTTTTTATTTTATTTCGGACAGCTCACATTATCTAGTTAGAAGGAATGAAATTGGGAAGCGGAAAAATCACTGAAATGGTACAATCGCCAAAAAGACGTAAGAGATGAGCTGAACACATTGATAGCATACGTAGGACAACCACAGAAATTATCTTTGAAGGATACGTGCAGGCAACTTTTAATACCGCTGAATCAGAAACTCCTGATAATCATCCTTTATGTTTACAGCTTCATGTATCTTTATGGTGCCACTACAATTCCAATGTACCTGGAAATTCTTTTAACGTCTCTTAAGATTGATATCATGGCTCCCGCTTTAGTTGTGATTTGTGTAGGGATTGTGGCAATCATTGGCGGTCTTTTGAAGACGTATGCGAATGATCACTTTGGGAGACGCACTATGCTTGCTGTGTCGGCCCTGGGGGTTTCTGTGATCTTCGTTCCTATAGGTATCACATTTCTGTTGGTCAAACATGATTATGATACTTCGAGTCTGCAATGGTTAATTATTGCTGAATTCATGTTATACATCTTTTTTGTCAATATCGGAATCGCAATTATACCTGGTTGTTTTTTGAGCGAAATTTTTCCGACAGAATTCAAGGAGATTAGCGCATGCGCCACCGATATTGTGAGTGCTTCAGCCGTATTCATAGCAGGTAAAAGCTATCAGCCTCTATTAAATGCTACATCCGAAGGATTCATATTCTTCTTCGATGCTTTTATTTTATTTTTGATGTTCGTCTATACTATTGCTGCAGTCCCTGAAACGAAGGGTAAGTCGCTCAAAGAAATTCAGGACATGTTTAGACAGAAAAATGATCGTATATCAAATTCAAAAGATGATTCACTGAGTCAGAACACGATGGCTTGACCTACATTCCCCAGGTAGTGATGATTTCTAGTGATGGTAGGTAGCCATGATTTCTAGTGATCAATGAAAATTTCCAAATATCAAGAAAATTCTTTCACCTTTATGCTGCGTATAGCGATCGGAATTTTAACACGTCATCAGGATTATAATTTTGATTCTATAAGGAATAATGACAGTGATGAAGTCCGTCTGTCTATGGAGTCTCAACATAGGATTAACTTGATTTCTATTTTTGTGATTATTTTGCGGAAAAGTTCCATGCTGTCTTGATGATAATATATAGCATAAATTGTATCGTATACATTTCAGAAAATATAAACAGTGTTCGGAAAAGCACAATTTGAAAAAATACTGTTACTCTCATCAAGAAAACTCTATTCACAGTGAATTCATTAAAATTAATTTTTTTCCGGTCTTGCAATACAGAATCATGGATCCCATTCTTCCATCATAGCCCTTACATTCCACGATTCCCTAACCATTATCAAATTTGAAAGTATCAAAAGTTATGCTCCTTGGCTCGACACGGAAGTCCTGTAAGTGGAAAAGTACCATCATCATATTCAGCAACTAATTATTCACCTTGGAGTTTATCTCAACATTAACCTAAATGGTCGAGTGTAGAGAACTACCTCAATTCCTTACGTGTTCTCCTAGTAAGATGATGAAAAATATAACAATATAAATCTTATCTAAATATCTAAATTGCATACGACGGGTCATGCATGGATTTGCTACCTCTTCAGGCGCTCAAACCAGTTTGATAGTTATAATTTAGATATGATGTTCAATTATTGATTAATCCTGTTTAGTGATGCCGTTGAGACTAAACAAGAATTATTTTGGATAGATCATCACAGTCTAAAAAAAACTGAAAGTTTAGGAATCGTCGTAATCTCGAAAGACATTGGATCGGTGCATCTCGTCACCAACTTGGAAGAATCCATCACGCCTGAGTTTCAGTATTTTCTATTTTTCAAATGTTTGTCTCGATATCTGTCTCGTCTCGTCTTGTGAACTTGAAAAACCGATAATCTCGAGATCCAGGCAAGATAAATCCTTCCGGAATTGTGACGTGATGTACGGATCCAATGTCTTTCGAGATTGCGACGATTCCAAAACTTTCGATGTTTTTCCAGACCGTGATGATCTCTTCAAAATAATTATCGACTAGTCTCGACGGCATCACTAATCCTGTTTTGGATATCTATTTAAGTGCGAATCATCAGTGAGATTGGAGGGAAGATCACCTGTCTATAAAAGGCACGTCAATCAATATGCTTCAAATTGTTCTTTCTTTCTTGCAAATCCAGTGTTCAACCAAATGGAGCTTGACCTTAAATTCTAATGCAGTGATCCCGTAGGTAAGTTTTCTTGACTTTATCCATATTTTAAAGGAGCAAAGCAAGCGTGAACAGTACAACCAAGAAATTTGACTACAATGGTTGGCTGCTTCAACAACTACGTCCCTTAAGAGAATCAGGATCACCATGACACTCGAAAATCGAACAGCACCAAATTATCAAGCATCAGACGTGATGAACATTCAACAGTCCGATGAACAATCATCCTTACATCTAAGTTGCTTATCCACAAGCGAGTTTAAGACAACAGGCGTGATTTACGTCCCAATATGCCGTAAATATGACAATTAATCGCGAAACCATTAAATTTTCTAATTGAAAACTCTTGACCATATTATATCGCAAAGCATTAAAAAACGTGTTATTGTAATTTCCATTTTTCCTGTTTTCAAATATATCATAGCATTATCAATTTTGCTCTCTGAATAGCATTAGAATTCCGGAATGATTCAGAAACCTAAGAATACTCCTCATTACTTCAGTCGAATCTGTCCAGTGATACAGTGATTATTGGTGGTGATGGGGCGCTAGTCTGTCGCTATATTATATCAAAGTTAGCTTAGGTCGTAATACATTGTGGAAGATTCCGTGATCAGTGGAATAAGATGAATCAGTATGATATCAACTAAGATGACCACTGGAGAAGAATCAAAAATTTGGCCTCAATTGATTGCTGCATCTGCGAGTAAGGCATTCAATGAAAGAAACATCATTATTACGTTTAGCAATTAATTATTCATGTTATAGTTCATGTACTCTCCGTCGTAGCCGGCCTAGTGGGTGGATGGACTTCTCCATATTTGGCAAAATTGACGAAGGGCACTGAATCATTGACCATCACCAACGACGAAGCGTCATGGATAGCCTCATTATCTCACTCGTCTCAACCACTGGGTTCAATCATTGGAGCAGTGATAGTCTACAAATTTGGAGCCAAAAAGGCAGTACTTCTTAGCGGAGTACCGTATGCTCTCGTGTGGTCATGCTTCTTGATTAACGAGTCCGTTCTCTTGATCTACGCATCAAAGTTATTCAGTGGCGTTGGTTTTGGAATATATGTCGCTAGTTATCCACTTTATATCGGGGAAATTGGGAACCCAAAGATCAGGGGTACTCTCATTGGTCTCATAGCTGAAGGGAAAGCCATAGGCGTCCTATTGGGAAATTTGTTGGGTGCATACGTGAACATGAGGATCTTCGCAATTATAAGTCTCATATTGACGGCCATTTTTTTGGTTACTTTTCCCTTCTTTCCGGATAGTTCACACCACCTAGTTAAGAGGAATCTACTGGAAGGGGCAGAAGAATCATTGAAGTGGTACAATCGCCAGAAAGATGTCAGAGTTGAGCTGGAGTCATTGAGAGTATATATAGAAGAATCACGAGTATTATCACTCATCGAGTCATTTAGGACCTTATCAACACCACTGAATCACAAAATTTTGTTCAACATCGTCTCAATTCATATCTTCATGCAACTCAGTGGCATCTACACAATCATGTTGTACCTGGAAATACTTTTAACGAGTCTCAAAGTTGACGTCATAGCTCCTTCTCTGGTGGTGATATGTGTAGCTATAGTTTCAATTCCCTCCGGTCTTATATCGATGTACACAAATGATCATTTTGGAAGACGAACTATGCTGGCAGTTTCAACTCTCGGGGTTTGTGTTAACTTTGCTCTGATCGGTGTCAATTTTCTTTTACTCAAACAGGGTTATCATAATCTGACACTTCAGTGGCTTATGATCACTGAAGTCATGCTGTATATGATCTTTCTTCATCTTGGTCTCACCCATATTCCTAGTTGTCTCCTGGGGGAAATTTTCTCACCAGAACTGAAAGAGATTTGTTCATGCATAGTACATATTCTATACGCTTTTGCTGCATTTATTGGAAGCAGAACCTATCAGCCTCTGTTGGATGCAACATCCGAGGAATTCATATTCTTCTTGTATGCTTTCCTCGTACTTTTCATGTTTTTCTATACAAGGGCAGTAGTTCCAGAAACCAAGGGCAAGTCACTCCAAGAGATTCAAGAGATGTTGAGGAAGAAAAGTGAGTGGGTATTGAACATTCAAAATGAACAACCTACTGAAAGCACCTATTGTTGACCCATGTCGTGGATTGCAATTTAATCATGATTGGATGTAATCTATAAAAAATTCAAAAAATTGAAAAGTCTTGGCATCTTTATTTAGATTCCTCATATATTCTTGCTCGCCCCTGTGCAGAATCATGGTTTTCTAGGAAAATCATCACGAAATGGGACGATACGAAACAAGTTTCATGACAATACTTCAAATATGATAATACTTAATAGCTAATAATAACAACAGGAACAAATTACAACATCAACCAGTTTACAGCAAAACCACTCCATATTTTTACCACGACTACAGGGTTTTCATAACATGCAGCCAAAGTGGACGACGTATTATTCCGCAAAGAATCATCCTTGATTATTCGCGTTTTTGTTGCATAAAAATCCGGTATATACGACTTCGATAATTTACAAATATATCCAGTTTTGGTAACGGTAACGGCCGCGAAAATCTAATAATTCACAAACACAGCCTCGTGATCGTAAACAAACCATATGCCTGCGTTTGGAAAGAGAGTCGCCGGATAATGAGATGAAACAAACACTTCCGTTGCCGTTACGAAAACCAAATATGATTATTAATTCGCCTGAAGTGAATTACATTGCGAATCTATCAACTCTAGAAATGTTTTCCGCATCTGCTCAACCTAGTCAAGGCTATAGTAATGAGATGTGTCATTAGGTCATACTATCACACGTGTGAACGATAATGCCAATGCAGATAATACTGGGAGACAAATACAGTCAATAAACCTGATGTGAGAGGTTTTAAAATAAAAAAATTGAGATATAATAACCCCCGATGCAGAAGTTGTAAATTGACTAATTTTAAAACGAAAAAAAAATCTATTGTTCTCTTCTTTTCATAAAAAAAATCAAGCAAAAGAAACTTAAAAATTTGTAGCTCAAGAAATTCGGCAGAAAACATCTCAATCCTTATATGTAAAAAAGAACGAACGAGAATCTCGAATGGAACTCAAATCGAAATCGGATGAGACTCGATTTTCCAGAAGGCGAACTCGGATCGAACTTGAATGAGAACAAACTCCGATAAGATTACCGACAGATGGCATTGTCAGGGAAATGGGCCCGAATTTCAAAACCTATTTCTAATTGGAAATCGAGTAAAATACATCATCTTGTAGATATGTCAATTCATGTATATGTCGGGCATTATAAATATGAAAAGGGAGTCCTTGCAACTCGACGGAGATAGTAAGGCAAAGCCGAACCTATTGAAACTAGAGCCTATGCGCTTATGAGGGGCGAGGGGAGGAGGGGTTTGCATACATTTTAGGTCCGAGCTGAACTCCTGTGAGTTTTTTGCTATTAAAAAATTATTAATAAACAATTGAAAAGTCAACTTTCCCGGCCAGGAATGTTTTTTCTATACACTGAGAAAAAAAATTTCTAAGAAATAGAAATTCTATGATTGATCCAAATCGTTCATCGATTGAATAATCGCAAAAGAAAATGCTATTGTAAGAAACAAATATCGATTTAATTTTAATGTTTTCAATTGAAAAAGAATGAGATCAGTTGTCTAAACTTTTTTTTTGTTGCTATCTACTTTTCAGTACATACAAAGCAATGTCTGTATTATCAGATATCTTCTTCGAATAAAGCATATAATTATCCAATTTATCAGCGTCACGATATCCCGCAAAAGAATATCTGTTCGATTGAAA